GGAAGTAGCAATGGAGAAGCTCAGTACCTTCAGCCAAAACAAGGCCAGGAGCTGACTCTGGAACAGACCATCAACTGCTCATATGCAAGTAAAACTGAAGCTGAAGACAATTAAACCAAGTCCAGGAGAGCCAAAATATGACCTTGCTTTATCTCCCTCCTGAATTTAGAGATCAACTAAGGAATAGAGTTGATGCATTGAACACCAGTGACCGAAAACCAAAGGAATTGTGGGATGATATCAAGAACAACATCCATGAAGAAACCAAAAGGTCATTAAAAAGACAAGAAGGGAGGAAAAGACCAAAATGGGTCAGAAGAAACTCTGAAAGTTGCTCTTGAATGGAGAGTAGCTAAAGCAGATGGAAGAACTGACAGGATAAAAGAGCTGAACAGAAGATTTCAAAGAGCAGCTCAAGCAGAGTCAATTATTATAATGAAATGTGCAAAGACCTGGAATTAGAAAACCAAAAGGGAAGAACATGGTCAGCATTTCTCAAGCTGAATGAACTGAGGAAAAAAAATAAGCCTCAAATTGCAATATTGAGATTCCATGGGCAGTATGTTGAATGATGCAGGAAACATCAAAAGAAGATGGAAGAAATATAGAGAGTCATTGTACAAAAAAGAATTGGTCGATGTTCATCCATTTCAGGAGGTGGCATATGATCAAGAACCCATGGTATTGAAGGAAAAAGTTGAAGCTGCACTGAAGGAATTGGCAAAGAACAAGGCTACAGGAATTGACAGAATACCCATTGAGATGTTTCAACAAATGGATGCTGCACTGGAGGCACTCACTTGTCTATGCCAAGGAATTTGGAAGAAAGCTACCAGGCCAACTGACTGGAAAAAATCCATGTTTGTGCCCATTCCAGAGAAAGGTGATCTCACAGAATGTGGAAATTGTTGAACAATATCATTACTATCACACACAAGTAAAATATTGCTGAAGGTAATTCAAAAACGGTTGCAGCAGTATATTGACAGAGAACTTCCAGAAATGCAAGCGGGATTCAGAAGAGGATGTGGAAGGAGAGATATCATTGCTGATGTCAGATGGATCTTGGCTCAAAGCAAAGAATACCATAAAGATGTTTCCTTGTGTTTTATTGACTATGCAAAAGCATTTGATTGTGTGGATCGTAACAAATTGTGGATTATATTGAGAAGAGTGGGAATTCCAGAACAGTGGATTGTGCTCATCAGGAACCTGTACATAGAACAGAAGGCTGTTGTTTGAACAAAACAAGGGGATACTGCATGGTTTAAAATCAGGAAGGGGGTGCATCAGGGTTGTATCCTTTCACCATACTTATTCAATCTGTATGCTGAACAAATAAACTAAGTAGCTGGACTATATGAAGACTGTAGCATCAGGATTGGAGGAGGACTCATTAACAACCAGTGATATGCAGAGGACATAAGATGGCTTGCTAAAAGTGAGGATGACTTGAAGCACTTACTGATGAAGATTAAAGACTACAGTCTGCAATATGGATTACACCTCAGTATAAAGAAAACAAAAATCCTCACAACTAGACCAACAAACAGCATCACAATAAATGGAGAAAAGATTGAAGCTGTTAAAGATTTCATATTATTTGGTTCCACAATCAACACCAATGGAAGGAACAGTCAAGACATGAGATGACTTACTGCACTGGGCTAATCTGCTACAAAACACCTCTTTAAAGTGCTGACGAGCAAAGATGTCTCCTTGAAGACTAAGGTGCACCCGACCCATGCCATGGTATTTTCAATAGCTTCATATGCACGTGAGAGCTGGACAGTGGATAAGGAAGACCAAAGAAGAGCTGATGCTTTGGAGTTGTGGTGTTGGCAAAGATACTCAAAGTACCATGGACTGCCAAAAGAACAAACAAATCTGTCCTGGACTAAGTGCAGCCAGAATGTTCCTTGGAAGAGAGAATGGCCAGGCTTCATCTGACCTACTTTGGTCATGTCAGAAGAAACCATTCATTCCCTGCAGGGTATCATACTTGGTAAAGTGGAGGGTCAACGAAAGAGGGGAAGGCCCTCAACAAGATGGATTGATACAGTGGCTGCACTGATGGGCTCAGGTGTAGCAAGGATGTGAGGCTGGCACAGGACTGGGCAGTTTTTCATTCTGTTGTACATAGGGTTGCTGTGAGTCGGAGCTGACTTGATGGCACCTAACATCTTTAATTTTCTTCCTTCATTAAAAACATGGCCAAGCTTTGTGTCTTAACAAATATATGTTGTTGTTGTGTGCTGTCAAGTCAGTTCCGACTCATAGCCACCCTATATGACATATTAGGGTCAGGGATAGCTCTATCCCAAAGGGGCTTCCTAGGGTGTAACCTTTGAGAGCAGATTGCCAGGTCTTTTTCTCCCATGGAGCTTTTGATAGGTTTGAACTACCAACCTTTGGCTTGGTGGCTGAGCACTTAACTGTTTTGCCACCAGAGCTACTTTGCAAGTATAGGCAAAAAAAAAAAAAAAAAAAAAAAAAATCACTGCTGTCAAATCAAATCCTACTTATAGCAACTCCCGTTGGGTTTCTGAGGCTGTAAATCTTCACAAAGTTGATTGCCCCATCTTCCTTCTATGGAGTGGCTGATGGGTTTGAACCGCTGGACTTCTGGGTAGCAGACAATTACCATTTAGCTGGGATGTTGTTGTGAGGTGCCATCGAGTTGGTTCTGACTCATAGTGATCCTATGTACTACAGAAGCAAACAGTGCCGGGCCCTGCATCATCCTCACAATTGTTGCTATGCGTGAACCCACTGTTCAGCTGCTATGTCAGTCCACCTCGTTGAAGGTCTTCTTTTTCGCTAACCCTTTACTTTACCAAGCATGATACCCTTCTCCAGGGAATTGGTAACATTCCTGGTAACATGACCAGGGGGGAAAAAAACAATTTTATTTATGACTTGGGAGCCTGTGAGAGGCTCAGGAAAAATAAAGACCAGAAGGACATGGTGCTAGTCAGTATTTCTAGTATTTTATCTTTAAGACTGATTACTTGAATTACTTTTGTCACTGCCTGTCCTCTGAATTTGCTCCTAGCACTCCTGATGGTTTTTCGGAGCTCAGAGGTCATATTGCAGTGTTTCTACCCTGGGAACAGGGTCGGCTGGAAGCAGTGATACAGACCCCAAGGCCCTCAGGATGTGGTCCAACTAATAAAAAGGTAAACATTTAGAAAGCTGCTTTTTGTATGCTACTGCTTCCCTAGCCTGCATAATTTTTGGCTTTTTAATGGCTTTTAGCACTATTAATTTTCTCATTGTTTTATAATCATCAAATCACAGATCATTTTCATCTTTAAAAAAGTACAGTCATTGAATGTTTTTTAAAGGCTGTTCATCATTGGCCCTTCAGTCCCTAACTTACACATTTTTCACTCTCAAAACTTAAGTTCCTAATCATTTCCAAAGTTTTTTTCTGAAATTCTAAAGAAGAATGCAAAAGGGAACCTTACTCTTATTCTGAGGAGAAAAGACAATAGACCTTTTTTTTTTTTTTGAAGTGAAGGCAGCCAGTTAAAAACATTATGTATATAGATTATGTGTAGATACAGCACTTAAGTAAGTGCTTGCTTAGCTAGTTCTTTCCATTCTAGGAGCTTAGCTTCCAATTTTTAGTGTAAGTTCTTGTTAGCTGGAGACCCAATTTAGAAAACAATTCCTAGTCTAAGAAAGAAGAGCTGTACATTTTTCAGCGAAATCAACACTTAGTAATACTGAGTATCAAGGAGAAAGAAACCTAGGCATCTACCAAGCTAACCATAGAATTTGCATCTGTAATAAAAAGGAAGCATGGTTTTCTTCATAGGTTAACTATAATGATAGAACTGACACGTATGTGCGTATACACAGTGAACTTGCGAGAGCTAGAATTTGACGAGATTGCCTTGTTTTTCTGGATCTCACAAGTTTTCCACCTTTGACAGGCTGCAGTCTTAACACTTTACTATCATTCATTTTAGTGAAAAAATATTTTGGTTTTCCTTTTGCTTTACAGTTTTTGCAGCTTTTGCAGGTGACATGTATATATATATGTATTGTTGTTGTTATGTGCTGTCGAGTCGGCCCCTACTCATAGCGACCCCTCCTTGGGTTTCCAAGGCAGTATCACTACGGAAGTAGGATTACATATATGTATATTATAATACTATTACATATATTATAATACTAATTATGTTATTAGGAGCTCTGGTAGAATAGTGCGTAAGGAGCCGCCGCTATGAGTTGGGTCTGACTCAACCGCACATAACAATAATTATTAGTAATGAATACAAATTAGTATATTATTATATATGTACCATGTATCTATATAGTTCTCATTTCCATGCACCAGCCTCCACCCTGGGCTGACTTGTCTGGTCAAACCCTGCAGCCACTCTGTGGAAGAAGGAAGACTGGGCAGTCTACTTTCCTAAAGAGTAGTTGTTGTTGTTGTTGTTATGTGCCATCGAGTCAGCCCTGACTCATAGCGACCCCTCCTTGGGTTTCCGAGGCAGTATCACTACAGAAG